ATTGTTTTGTTGCCCTCAGCGACTGACCGAAAAATATGAAATATTGGGTCGTGTTTTTTTTCCTATATACTCTGCTATTCACGAAAAAAATCCGACCGACCCAATATTTCAATTTTCCGACTTGAGGGCAACATAAGTTGTTGTTTTTTTTGGCCTTATAACTAAACCCCACAATTGTGCCATGCAGACACAGCCGTAAAATACTTTATTTTTGCTTGGAATTAATTTTCGCTTTTTTCGCTGAAGCGCATGATTCAGTGAAAATAAAATCCAGCGACTATACCTGTTTCGAGCGAAACTTAACTTCTGAACATTGAGGGCGCCCTTGAGCGCCAAAGGAATCAAAACATAGATTCAAAATGGCAGCTCGCACTGATGTAGCGAATGGTGTCGCTTTGAAAGTCATAGAAATCACCAGTTTATAGAAACATTTGCCATCTATACGATGCTGTATTGGGTGAGTTTTTTGGCATATACATTGTAGATGATTGTTGTTGTTTTTCTGATGTGGACATGCCATTTCCAATATTAGCGTGAAAAATTTGAACGTTGAAAGACATGTGTTTATGATTTGCCGGACGGTTACTGAAACTGTATAATGAGTAATGATGATGTTATATTTGTTGATCAGTTGCGTTGTACATGTAATTTTCAGAGTTTTAAAGGATGAATACGCTTAGAAACGTTCAGTGTGATTTATTGTTGAAGCAACAAACTTTTGCATAGTTAATCCAGCAAGTTTACTAGTTTGTGATGCATAATTAGAAATGTTTATGTTGAGGTGTTGGTAGTTGAGTTTCTGGTATTTAGAAAATAGTATTATATTATATTATAGGATCAATAACCTGTCTACGCTGCTAACCTGTGACGATAGTCAACACTGCTAACCTGTGACAATAGTCAACACTTCTAACTTGTGACGACAGTCAACGCTGCTAACCTGTGACGATAGTCAACGCTGCTAGGTGACCACCGAACTCGGCCAGATTTCTACTCGGCCAGTGACCGATCACGGCCAGTGACCGTACTCGGCCAGCATATATGTTAATGGTTTGTCAAAGGGTGCCGATCTCAGTGATGCAACAGCGAGCGCTGTATTACAGATTGCTGTATTACAATAAAATGTAAAGGGTGTTGATTTCAGTGATGCCTATCGTGCTTTGTTAATAAAAGAAGGGTTGTCGATTTCAGTGTGATGAAC